GGGTAAAACATGTTGCAAGTTGAGATATACCTTAAGGACTGAAAGTATGAAAGGATGTCGTCTAATTTCACCGGAGTTTCGCTACACCAGCAGCCTTATGACTGCTGTCTATTTTTTAGGTTTGTCCCTCATTATGGTTACGAAACTTTCAAACATCACATGCGACGAGAAGCAGATGAAACAGATATACTCAGGCACACACAGCATGCATATTGAAAAATTTCACTGCCAGATAGCAGTCAGCAATGATTATGCGTGAGTAGTCCGAAAAACATGCAGGGAGTTAAAAACGGATAGAAATAAGTCCAAATATAATAAAAGTGACGATGACGAGGCTCAAACTTCATGCTCATCGGCGAAACTGCCACTGCCTGGAGCGCATAATCTGGACGGTTTGGTCAAGCAAGCCCACAGCTCCACTGTAAAACCGATGAATTTGCTCATGTAAGATAGCGTTTCGGATAAAATTTCGTCAGCATTTTGAAGGCTGCGAAGCTTGACGAGAGACCTGATGCAGAATAACTTACCTGAATATTGACAGAACTGTTGAAAGCGGAGCTGTAATAATCGTAGGTGGTGCACATGGGATCAACTGGTTGCAGGGACCAACTCCGTGCCTCCTGAATTTGCTTGCAACATGACTGAGGTACAAACGAAATTGTGCCACGCTCCGTGTTGGTCTTATACCAAAACGATTGCTGGTAGTCACGAGGGCCAGTGCCACCGCAACATTGCTGCTAGAATATCACTGATGCCAATTACATCCACGCATTTACATTTAGTAAAAACCCCCTCAAATTTTGTACTTCGAATATTTAAGGGATGGAATATTTATTTGACATAAGAGATGATAAGTGAATTATTAGCCTAAAGCTGCTTAATTAACGTTAATCCACAAGTAGATGCTGGGTATGGGATGGCAGAAGACATGCTGAGAGTCATAGCTGCTACTCATTTTCCATCTTCCGCAGTATCATTTTTGGCGTTCCTCCAACAAGGCACATACAGGTGCTTATGCAGTGCGCTTTTTGCTTCATATCACTGATAAGCGGTCTGGACATTTACATGTCTGTCCTTAAGCCGGCAAGCAAGCAGTTGGTGTAAAAGGTGGGAGGACCTGTCGCTCTGCTGTCAGCCTCAGCCAGAATTTGAAGGGCTCCGGTGGCGTGAGTCCCACAGAGTAGTCAGTGTCGGCAGTACCCCGGATTAAAGTACACCATTACCTCATTGGAACTAGCGAGTGCAGTTTCCTCCACTTTTTGAGTTGATATTTCTAAATCTAAATTTTTAAAGTACAACATGATCTTCGCAAGGCATATGAGTTAATTCGTTTTCTTTTCTAAATGCTATCAAAAATACTGAGGATGCTGGACACCAACCGGAGGACAGAAAGGCATTTTTACAACAGCACAACAAAAAAAGTTAGCATACATTAACAACAAAAATAGTACGTTACCAGGATTTACGTAAGACGTCGATTTCCCATAACTCAACACAGCAAACACACCATGCGCAAAGGGGCAGTGTGAAGAAACAGCAAAAATACTAATCAGGCTACAGAAATGAACCGGAAACAGCGCATGTGCACTTGTACTGGCACATAATTTAAAAATATTCTGGATCTGTTTCGTCAGAAGGCAACAAATTTGTAAAAGACGCACACTCTGAGTTAAAGAACCTTACCTTGAATACCTTGAACAGCTGTTGTTTCATCGATTTCTGTTGTCACGCCATCGATGCAGCTGGCAACTTCTCCATTTCGATCGATCCTGAGCCTGACGAGACCAGGTGACACCATAAAGGCCACGATTGGATCTCGCCATCGTGTTGGTGGCCTCCCCAGTGTTCGTTTCATCGCGCGTGGATACCACTCCATTATTCGCTTCGTCCATCGGTTGTCTCCCCAGTGTTCGTTTCACCGCGCGTGGGTACCAATCCATTATTCGCTTCGTCCATCGATTGTCTGACATCCTTGCTACATGACCAGTCCAACTTCTTTTTCTGGTGTACATTTCTTCGATTATATCCTGTACCCCAGATCTGGCTCTGAGCACTTTTTTGGAAATGTGCTGAAGCCTGTTTACACCAACCATTCGCCGCTCCATTGCCCGTTGAGACACTGCCAGCTACCGCTCTTCAGCAAGAGTGGTGTTCCACGCCTCACATCCATATAACATAGCTGGTACCACGGTCGAATTGAAAAGGTTTTGCTCTTACAGTCGAAGTAGTCTTTTTGTCGTAGAAGTTATCGCGGAGCTTGGTGAAAGTCATCCATCCAGCTCTTATTCTTCGCATTATTTCAGTTCACAGGTCGTTGTTCATCTGCACTGCTTGTCCCAAGTAGATATAGCTGTCCACAAGTTTGACAGATTCGTTGTTTAATTTTACGTCGAAATGAGGACAGTGGGCATTCTTCATCCACTTTTATCGATGTTGACTGTGAGCCCAATCTTCTTTGTTTCTGTGACGAGCTCACTTAGCAGATTCTGCAGCGACTGTGGGCT